AAATTTTACTTACTTCCCTCATAAACCGGTTATAGAGCTGCGGAGGTCAAACACGCGGTTTGCATGTACCTTTTACATGCATTGAACAACATTCAGCATCGTAAGGGAGGACTAGTTCGAGCGGCAGCCGGAAATTTTGCGACAATTGAGGTGTCACGGTGGGTCCATAGAACGCTGACGGAAGCCCTATAGGCAGCTTCCAATACAAAGGCTACTTAATCTGTGGTCAGGTTAGCTGTCGGCAACGTAACTCTGAGACTGCCAAAACTATCTGTCTCGTCAGTTTACTGGAAGCCCATCGTGATGACCTTGCCTCAGTCAAGGACGCAACTGGCGGATCGTATAGCTTTTGTAGCCAAAATGAATGAGCTAATTGGCTTTGTTACCTTGGTCACATAAAATACCAAGTTCATAGCTGGGTGCTAACAGACAGTCGCTTTGGCATTGCTTAGTTCGGCCGGCAGACACAAACACGATGTACAAATATGATCGCGCAGGTAATCTTGGTTCGGATGAAAAATCAGCGTAATCACTTACAGTCTTTCAATTATAATATTTAGCGAGGATACCCATGTAAGCAGTTAAGAAGTCAAGTTTGGCGAATGGAAACTTTCGATTGTTGGTCATCAGACCTTTACAGTAATATAAAGAAGGGTAGGTTAACACAAATCTAAACATCCAATAAACAGTAAGTATAGGGAGAGGGTTCGCGGCTTTCAAAGGTCAGGCATTATAGTCTAGTCCTATAGAGGCTGATCAAGGGGAAAGGCGTCCGAAAATCAGTTACGGTTCTGCTTCGTCGCTGTAGCGTGACGTGGCCGGAGGCGTAAACAGACATGCTAAGTTAGTCTTCAGCCAAGGAAGTCTTAGGGCCTGTATAAACGCTTTCTGTGAATACAAAGTTGTGTTGATCAGCCGTTTGGCTACTGGTTCTGCCGTCGCGAGTATCCTTTGACGCAGGAACTTGAAATGTTTCGTCGACAATAGTTAGATGACTCGAAATGCTTGGTTGACGTCTACCCAGGGATGCTATCAACCGAGTAAGCCAAAAATTGCCTCTTATCTAAGCTACCTACACGTATTACGCTAGTAGCATTTATTGTGTTCATATTATTTCCAAAGAACGTGATCGTCCATTTGACCGTTCGGTTAAAATTAGTCTCCTCTTGAAATATTACAGAATTTCAATGAAATTATAATGAGCAACGTTTTGACATTTAAAATGTACTTACTTAAATAAGTATTTGTGTCCATTGAAAATCTTCACAAATTCAGCTGGTGTCTGGGTCGAATGCGTACGTTGTCTAAAATGGCGTTTCTTGGAGGATGTCAAGGATCCCACTGAGCTGAACGAAGCCTGGAACTGCGCGCTGCAATCGAAATATGCAGACAAAGAGGATTTGGGTGCGGCTTGTGAGGAGCCTGAGACCACAGAAAATATCGATGAGACTCAATATGTCTATGGAGAATTTGCCACTGGATCGGTGGTACTGGCTAAAATGACGGGTCAGTCACTGGGTTTTGTTGTGTTTAAAAAAACGACTAACTGCTTCCCTAGTCCTTTACAACAATCGCATTCGGAATACACTATTAAGGTTGGAGAACTTTTGAATGAAGGAAAGAAAAATTGACACGTCACATGAAGACTATGTTGACCGAGTGGTCTTGCTTACAGGCTGGAATGTAGGATGCTATAGTTTTACTCTGAAACATTAGGTCTAGTGGCTACACAGTTGATTGCGTTGCAAATGCCCATTGACAGTCAGGAAGTGTCTGCTACCATGACCACTACCGCGTGTTAGCCTATT